TTTGCGGTTATGGTGTTTTGTATTTTAAAAATATTGCAAGGGCAGTGGTCAGTTGAAGTAGTGAAACAAAATTCAAAGATAACAGAAGCTAAGTAATGATTATAATTTTTATGTATATTATTAAATAATTCAACATAAACTTTAAAACCGAATTACTAAAATGCTCTGTTTTATTGAATTTGTGAAATCTATTCTCAAAGCTATTTTTGTTTATTATTTATGTACAAAATTAAAAAGGGGAAATTATTTAAACTAAACAGTTTATCTGTACTATAACAAAAGATATCATTTTAACATTCTAATCGTGTTTTAACATAAAAATATTAGTTTTGTACAAGAGTAAATACAATTCCATACTGAAGAGTAAATAAGACTGGAAAAAGGCTTCTAGAATAGATTTTGGTGGGCACTTTGTTGCTAAAAATGCAAAATCACTTGGTCGTCCAAAAATCGTAGCGCGAGGGGAGTGGTGGAGAGCCTTACAAAAAAATGCTAATTTGTTTTTCGTCATTTTTTTCGATCTACGATATCCGAGAGTGGAAACATAGCTTTCTTATCGTCTGTGCATGAAGCCATGGTTTTTATTTAATTTGGATTATTTTATTCGTTTCGATTGTACTTAATTTTATTTAATCTTATTTAATTTAATTTACTTTTTATTTTATTTTACTAATTTATATATTTTATTTAATATAAAATATTTTAAAATCCAAATTAGCCTAACTGAACCGGTGCTCGTTATAAAACCAACATAAATCAATAAACTGCATTGCGAAATAAATCTTGCCTTACCTTAAAATTACGGCCAATATTTTTGGCAATTTCGCAAAAAAATAATAGTATTATTAATATTATATGTGTAATTAATATGATGCATAAAAATCGAATAAATATAAACTTACATAAAGCTTTAACTTATTTTGCTTCTTACCGTACAGTCACCAAAAATATTAATTACATTAATACTAATAATCTTTGTTCTAGGTTTCTATTATATATATATATATATATATATAATATATATATATTATATATATATATATATATATATATACACTTCATCTAATGTATATAACGGTGCACGTCATCGGCGTCATAGCCTGTGACGTTACATGATACCAACACAAAATATTTAGGGTGTAGGTGTGTTCTTTTTTAGAATCACTTTACCGAGTACACTGGCATTACAGCCACTAGACATATTTTATTATATACGCTTAGAAATAATATTTAAAAATTTCAATAATGTTAACTTAAAGAAATACACAATAATATGTTTCATTTAATTTGTATAAATGCATTATAAAGCGTTTTTTATCAAGAACATTTGTTCGGAACACACTGTCTCTGTAATCGAACAAAGCTAAAATTTTGGCATAAATTGGTAACACTTATTTGTACTTCATTATTTTGAATTTTAAAGTGAATATCTCTTGTTTTATATTTTTAACTATTTAATAAAATCTGTTCGTTTTAGAACAAAATTAGTGTGTTTTATTTAAAAAATGTCACGTAAGAATTTAAATAGTCGTTGTAAAGAGATGGTAATACTTTTGCAATAATTATGTAATCTATTTGATTTAAAATGGAGTCAGGATTTTTTTTATACTTTGGCAACTATGTCAACTTCGATCTCTGACGTAGATAATGACATAAGTCGTTATCTATATATATATATATATATATATATATTATATATATTATAATATATTTATATATAGGTATATATATATTATATATATATATATATATATATATATATATACCTATATATAAATATATATATATATATATATATTATATATATATATATATATATATATCTATATATATAAATATATATATATTATATATATATATATATATATATATATATATTCTATATCGATATATCTATATATATATATATATATATATATAATATATATATATATATTATATTATATATATATATATATATATTGGATTTGAAACTTCCGCGGGAGCTATATGTGATTTCAGTTGTTTTCCGGGTTTGACTCCGCGTTAAGTAATTTTGGTTTTTAGAAAAACCATTGTTTTGACGACGTTTCGGCAAGGTCACACTTGCCATTGTCAAGTCAGATTAGTTCTGCTTCGTCTTGATGTTTCAGGAGAACTGTTTTGCAGTTCTCCTGAAACATCAAGACGAAGCAGAAACTAATCTGACTTGACAATGGCAAGTGTGACCTTGCCGAAACGTCGTCAAAACAATGGTTTTTTAAAAACCAAAATTACTTAACGCGGAGTCAAAACCCGGAAAAAACAACTGAAATCATATATATATATATATATCATATATATATATAATATATATATATATATTTATATATATTATATATATATATATATATATATATATATATATATATATATATATATATATATATATTAGATAACGACTTATGTCATTATCTACGTCAGAGATCGAAGTTGACATAGTTGCCAAAGTATAAAAAAGTCCTGACTCCATTTTAAATCAAATAGATTACATAATTATTGCAAAAGTATTACCTTTGATGTTATTGTAGTTTATCCGATGCCCATTTTTAAATGCATGTTCACCCAATGCACTTCTTTCAGGATGTAGTCTATTATCAGACTTGTGGGATGTAATGCGGTCTTTAAGGCATCTTGTAGATGTAGTAAAAACAAGAAAGTAAACATCACCAAAGACTTTTTTGGAAAATGGCCTACATTTGCCAAAATAATAATGCACTGAATCATAGAACAGATATTGGCCATCTAAATGAAATGTTCTCCTATTTGTTACTACTAGATAAATGCAACAATAAGACAAACAATAATTTATCAATTGACATTTAAGTAATTAAAAAGTTCATTTTTGAGGAATTTATTTTTTTTACAAAGTTAGTTTGTTTAAATTTAATAATTTTTGTTTACACACAGATACTGGGGTCATACAAAACAAAATCACAATAAATTGTAACGTTTTTAGAATTACGACCTTATTTATTTATGTTAATTTAATCGGATTTGTTTTAAAACATTGACAGGTTGAAGTTTCACTTTCTAATGATATTAACAAATATAAAATAATTTATATTTCCACGATATACCTAATAATAAGCCTATAATTTGTTGTACTAGAGTTGCTTGATATTAGGGATGTGAGATTTTCACTTGCCAATGTCAATATCAATGTCATAGATTTGTTTAAAAATAATTAAGTTTGTGTGAATGTTAAGTAATTTTTTTAAATTTTAAATATAGGAATAGCTTTTAGCTCAACAAACTGTGATAAATTTTATCAACAATTTTTATAACATCATTTATGATACAACCTCATTAAGTTTGTAAGTATCGAATTTTTAATTAATTATACAAATTTGTAAAAATTATTCATCACATTTGTAGCTCCTGATGAAGGACATAACCAATGTCCGAAAGCTTGGAATAAAAATTTAAAAGAGTACACCTTTCATTTTTATTGTGCATACCCAATATTTAAAGTTTACTTCCTTACGTGGTCAGCAAATACTTCTGGTTCATTATATATATATATATATATTATATATATATATATATATATATATATATATATATATATATATATATATATATAGTAGTTTTGAGTTTCTTGATATTATTATACCGTATTATAAATAAGATAAATTAATATTTCTTGGGTTTAGGTTCAATAAAGATATGTTATATGTGGAACTAGATTTTATTTTCCATTGCAATCAATCAACGTTTCGGCAGAAAACCCTTGCCTTTGTCAAGATTCAAAACGTAAAACGTGACACAGACATTAACGAACTCGTTCGTAACGATATATATATATATATATATATATATATATATATATATGTATATTAATTATATATATATATATATTATATATATTATATATATATTTATATAGTAAACTTTTAAATATTGGGGAAATCTGCAAGAAAAACTATAATATGTATCAATTGTTTCGCCTAACGTTTTCGCCAAGAGAATAAATTATAATTAGCTACCATATATTATCTAATAAAACACATTTACCTTACCGTAAATATTGGAAATGTCGAGTTATGATGTTAAAAAACTTTAGCTAGTAACAACATAGTGGTGTTTTTTTTTTGTTACCATGTGCAAAAAAGTGTTTTTGTTAACGTTGGAAATGTATGGTAGCTTTGAACTTAAAACGAAAAAGTTTACCCAAGGTTAATCGAAAAACCCAATGTAACTACATTTAAAGGAAGTAATTCTTTGAATTGTCGGAAATAACTAAATTTTTGATTGTTATAAAGTTTTAATGTTAACTTCTGTTTTTATAGAACGCAAGCGCTGATAATTACAAGTAGTGCTTTTGAATATTTATGTCGTTAAGGTTCATTGGTAAAACCGATGAAGTTAGATCCCAGTCTGGGGAGATATTAGTTTAGAATTTTCTTAATTGAAATTCTTTTTCTTTTAATTAGTATATTGTTCATGTATTATTATAATAATATCTTATTGAGATGTATCTAAGAAAAGTAAGGGAATGTTATCTTTTTTAGTTAATGAAAATTATGATTAAAGTAGGTTAGTTGTTAATAGATATATCAGTCAAGTTAGTTATATTTATATATATATATATATATATATATATATATATATATATATATATATAACAATAAAATACTGAAAACTTTGTTTTCAAACTTCCATAAAAATTTATTTTAACTCTTATCACTACAGCTGTTTAGGCTAATTGCCTTTCTCAAGTGATCTATTTTTAGTTCATATGTAGATAGATAGATTAAGACTCTCTATATTATATCTTATAAGAAACACATTGACTAATTTTAGAGTTTTAAATATCTTTTTAGGTATTTTCTTTTTAATTTTATTGTTTATCTTGTTTATATTGTATTTTATTGATAGTCTACGATTTGCGTCTAACGCTGACATAATTTTGGAGCCATGTATGTAGCAAGTGAAAAAATAAAACTTAAAATAAATATTAACTAACAGGTTTATTTTATCTAAAAATAGTATGGACTTTGATGGTGCACATTATGTTGTTGTCTAAATAACACTGGAGATTCAACAGGTACATGTTCTTTTAAAAAATATGGTTGCTGTATATTAACCTGTTCCCTTACATAGATAGGTTGTTGTACGGGTACATGTTCTTTAACAACAACGGGAGATGGTACTGGTATCTGTTCCTTTACTACTACGGGGGACGGTACTGAAACTTGTTCCTTTACAAGTACAGGAGACGGCACTGGAATATGTTCTTTCACAACGACTGGTGATGGTACTGGAACAGCTATAGGTTTTGGGACTTCCACAGTATAAGGCTGTGGTACTCCTACTTTAACAGGTACAGGAACTTCTACTTTAACAGGAACTTTCACTTCTACAGGTACTGCTCTTTCTACAGTGTACGGTACATGTCTATCAACTGTAACTGGATATGGTTGTGGTACTTTTACTTCATAAGGGCGATCTACGGAAACTGGTACTGGGTGAGCTACTGGTACTGGTACATGTCTATCTATTGGAACTGCATATGGTTGTGGCACAGCAAACGGGATTTGTTTTGTAATAGTATTGACGGTATGGGTGGAAGGTCCAACATTAAGGATAGATTCCAATGATCTTAAATTTAAACCTGGTACACCAACAGAATTTGCTGCGAATTGAGATCCATGTATGAAGGGGGAGTATCCAGAAAGTGATCTTAAATTAAGTGGAAGTTGTAAGGAAGGTGATCCTGCATATTGTGAAAGGGAAATAGGTGATCCCAAGGACCTAAAATTAAGTCCTGCTCCTAAAGAATCTACAGAAACTACGTTGCCTTCAGCTATCCCACGCTTGTCCGATTTTTTTATTGTCTCTCCATATACTAATCCCGATAAAAAGAGTACACATACCTAAAAAAAAATATTGCATGTAAGTATGTTACCCGTCGGAAGCAAGCGTCGTTAGAAATAAAGTACCTTTAATTTACAAATATTTGGTAATTCAAAGTTTAAACTATTTTTATTGCTATGAATGATTTTACAGTATAAAAATATATCGAATGTAGGTACCGATTCCTAACTTTACTAATGTGTACAAATAAATTACTTCAATGTAACCATATTTAATTGTTAAACTAAAATAAATTCAATATACTTAAATGACACATTGGAGCTATTATCTATTATATTATCTGCACATTGGAGGTATGTTATACTTACATCTGCCAAATTCATAACCTCAAATTTTCTCAAAGAAGCTATTTACCAGTGAAAAATTAGTGTTTTTAAAACAATAACTAAAATAATTGAACAAAATTCACTTATGGAAAATCGGCAAAAATCTATCCAAGCTTTTATTCCTAATGAAAATAAAATCTAAACTAGAAAATCCAAAAAAAGTTATGTAATCAAATTCACTACTACGGCTTTCATCTCATTATTGCTTAAATTAAGTGGATAATAATAATTTTTCTTGGGTGCACTTCGTCTTATGCTAGTATATTGGTATAAAAAACAAAATTTATGTTGTGGAGATTTACATCATATTACCAGACGAAATGTGTTCCAAAATAACCTTAAACGAAACTGATATAGTTCACTAAGTAGTGTTCATTTTACAAAGCACGTGGTGTTTGTGTGTATCAAGGTATAAAGACTGCTCAATAAAAGCGTAAAACTTTATTTTAAAGAAGCTTTTTTTCGGAATTAAATCATTCCATCATCAGTTTAAAAAAAGTGGTTAAAAAACATTGTTTGGCCACAGAATAACACTAGAAGGACATGAGTAACAAAAACAATCCTCGTGGAATTTACAAAGGCAAATGCAATAGACCGTTTACTTCGGCAATTAATAAAAACTACAACTGGGGGCATCTAACATGACACCCAGAAGCTGGTGAAATTTTGTCGACTTACATTACCTCTGATCTATGCTGGAGTCTAGTGCTAACTAGTTAGCTCAATTAGTCAGTTGATGGAACTGATAGACTGGTAGACTGATGATGGAATGATTTAATTCCGAAAAGATCTTCTTTAAAATTTTTTAAGCTTTTAATAAGCATTTTTTATACATTGATATACAAACACCACGTGCTTTGTATTTAACAGGTATACTAGTCACTCCTGGATATCTCCACTTCATGGTTTTATTTCAGTTTTACTTCTATGTGTTTATTTTCATAAAGTGTGCCATTTTTTTGAACCTATTCTCTATCCTTCCATTGTTGGATATAGGTCTCCCCCAGTTCTCTCCATCTTTCCTTATCTTGAGCTGTTCTCTGCCATGTGGGACCTCCTTGTTTCCTGATGTCATCTTTCCACCTCATCTGTGGTCTGCCTCTTGATCTCTTTGCATTGTATGGACGCCACTTTCCGATGGCATTGTTACATCGTCCGTCTTGGAGACGTTCATTGTGTCCAGCCCATTTCCGTTTCAGTTTTCCTGTTTGTTTTATCGTGTCTACTGTCTTTGTTCTGGTTCTAATCCACTGGTTACGTTTTCTATCTTTAAGTGATATTAAAGGGTGCCATACTTTAAGTATATTTTTCACAAAAAAACTAAACATTTTGAAACTACTACTCTTGTTTCCATGGTTGAAGTTACATATATTGGATATTAATTAAACGTGTAGCGTAGATAAATTTTGCTGTGAAAAAATAAAACTGCAATCAACACCTATTATCAACAAACTACCAGAACTACAGAATCAGGAAGAAATATAGGAAGTTATAAAAAAAAGACGTAAGAGATGAAAGAGATGATTTCAACAGCAGAAGATAATCCAAGAAAGCGAAAATCAGAAAGAAAGAAGGAAAAGGCGCTCAAGAGAGAAAATGGTAAAGTTACATATATTGTTAAATGAGATGCCAAGTCCGTAAAGAAGTGATGTAGTCCTAACATAACGCCAAAGTGTTTAAAAGAACATTTAGTTTTCTATTTTTTAAATACGCAAGATGACGAACTATAAATTTTTAACAAATTTTAGACATTAACGTCATAGAAACATAAAATAAATTATGTTAAAAATCCGTTGCCATGTAACCCAAAGTTAATCAAAAACCATTTAAAGGGTTTTTTCCATGTATTGAATGACCTATATATCTGTGATGTAGCCCGATAGGGTTAATATTATTATACCTTTTATAAAGGAATATTTTAAATAAAATTTATGTTAAAAATCATATGCGGTAGTGAAGTGTAAAGAAGCCAAAAAAATACTGAAAATGTAAACAAAATGTTGAAAAAGAAAAGTGCTTATGACTACTTTTTGGTGCTTATGACAATATGTTTTTAAATACGTTACATTCGGGAGAAAACACAATAAAACGATGGATTCCAATGGAGCCAACCACTTATAAATTTGATACTTCTGTTGACAGTCTACAATATTTCAAGTTTTAACAAGCAAAAAACTTTACTCCTCGAGTAAAGACTACTCTTAGAAAAATGAGACAAATTTACAAAGAAAAGAATATTCAGAAATGGTTATAAGTGATTCCTAAAGTTCCTTTACACTAGTGTAGAGCATCTGTTAGCAGAGTATACGTTGCTCGTATTAAATTTTTAAAGCTGTTTTAGAAACAGAAAATATCAAGAATATAAGCCAAGGAAAGATCAATGTAATAGGTACGTATGTTGCACATAAAATAAAGACAATAAGTTCTAAAGATTATGAAGCAGAATAAAGGAACATAAACAAAATAATTATTAAAAAGTAGTGCAAATTCTGACAAATTGGTTCCCATAAACGTGTCAAATTCACCATTTATTCTTTAAACGATGAAGATGTCCAATTGTACGTTTGGCATGAACCAAATGGTGGTGGTGTCAGAATTTATGTCTTGTCTTATAGGTTATGTAATTAATATTCATGCTAACTATCAAACTTTTACATTTATCTCAGATGGATGCAACTACCAAAATCGAAACAGAACTCTGACTAGTACTTTAAGTGATGCTGCAAGATCAAAATCCCTAAAAATACATTAGTTATATCTTAAGAAAGGCTATACTAGAAAAAGACAGAAGACAAGTTCAAACACCTGCAAGACCTAAAATCAGTTATTGAAAAAGATCTCATCATTACATTTACGATATTCCTAAAATCAACAAAAAATAATACGTTCGGTGGTGTTTCTAAAAATAGCATACACTGATACTACAAATCGAAGTTTATTTATTTAAAATAAAGGTAATACACATCACTTTACTGTTAATGTGACTCTTTTTCCCCCAAAAATACCAAATTTTGATATACCAAATACCTGCTATATCTGCTGACATACCTACTATGTACCGGTTCAATATCATTTATAATTTCTTCAATGTGCCGTTGTTACTATTTTTTTTATTAATTTAATATTTTGTTTTGATTTGAGGAATCAATTTAACCTTAAAACCAATATCTATCTTGGTTTGGCCAAAAAAAAAAAAAATCAAATACTAATTTATTACAATGTAAAATAGCGTTATTTAATTGTTTTTTATATTTCCCATAAAATTAGGATATTTTTACATTAGAAATGTTCTATTCCTAAAGACGTATGTTATCAATAAATGACACCTACATAAATACTGTAAAAACGAAGACAATGAGTGGAGAATAAAAGTAAAAAAATCTGCTCAAATCCGTTTAATGTCGATAAAGAAAGTCCACAAAGATGCTGCCTGTCACACATTTTATTAAATTTTTATAAAAATAAAAAATTTGAACAAAAATGTGGACAGATGGGAGTGAAAATTGACAACATCTATATAGCCTTTTTTTTTTTGTCGATTATCAAGTAATTTTAGCAAAAGACAAAAACGACATTCTCTACATAATGAAAAGCCGGAAGAACTATTTCGAAGATAAGGTTTGTAAAATAAATTATCAATAAAATGCATTGTCTTTGTAAATACCTCAGCAGATCGGCAAAGCAAATAACTCAATAAAACAAAAAAAATTGAAAGTAAATGTTTAAAGGCAAAGCTGCTCACTTTATGGCGAGTAGTGAGTGACAAATGAATAAATGGAAAATCCAATAAATGCAATGGAAAAGATATATTGGGAAGAACATGCACAATAACATTAATGGATAATGTGATGGAGACACTAAATGCCGAAATACAAAAGCGAGTATTACTCTGGTATGAAAATATGCAAAGGATGGATCAGGTAAGAATACCGTTGAGTATTTGGAATGTAAACCAAACAGAAAAAGGAAAAGAGGACATCCTAAATTACAGTGAAACGCACAAATAAAACCAGCAATGGAAAAAGGAGACCTCATTTAAAAATATGTAATATATAACAAGGAGATACAGCGATGTGAAAGTGGCAAATAGCCAATAAAATATGATGTTTAACGCCACAAATAAGTTAGTAAGTAAAATTAACAGGTAAAATTACCCAATCAGTACCCAATATTACATTGATTTATCCAATTAAACTATTTACAAATATTTCTTCAATAGGAATATAGAAACAAATATAAGTAGAACGATAAAAATGTAAATTAAATAGATTTAAACACTACCTTTTTAATAACCTGTCATAAAAATTAAGTAGTGAAAGGAGCACAGTGATCAGGAGATAAAAGTTAGAGTATAATCGAAAATATACGAAATGAATATGCAAAATAGAAAAACTAATAAAAATAAAAGTACTAACAAAAGAAACTACATATTCTGGGATCTAATGCTATAGCTGTATAGAAGCAAAGAACTAAATTGAACAAAACAGTAACATAGAGCGTAAGCAAACAAATGAAGAGTAGACACCAAAAACACAAACATAAAAACATAGCTTTTAAAAGGGGCTAAATATCAAACCTACATAAGGTTCCCGTAATTGAATCCACAGGTAATTTACCTATATTTCTTACAAGCATTTGTAAATAAGGTAATTTAAGGTGATATGGTGAATCGGACAAAATGGTGAAATGCTCTATTTCGTTTCTTCTTACACAGATGTAATCCGTAAATCTAAATGCCGACAGTTTATTATCATTTATGCAGTGAGAACGTTGTGAAAACCAACCCCGTTTTGAAAACCGTAAATAACTTGTGCAAAACTGTTTCCGGTGCTCAATAATTAATATACAATACATGTATTTGTAGATGTGGCTTAAGGTAGCTTCGTCCGCAAGGTATTTTTTAAAATATTCTGCTTTCTTAGACCTTGGACTGTGTACATACAACGTTACCTACAAATCGTTGCCTCTAACATTATGAAATTCTTGCCTTGCTATTCACCATTTCACCCATAGTAAATGGGAGAAATGGTGAACTTAGGCAAGGGCTATATGGTGAATGCCTTTTCCAATGCGCATATCTATTCGGCCAAGTAAAAATTTTTTTATTGGTTTAGTCCGATTTGGTTTAGTTTATCATTAATTTAATAAAAAAAACTGTACTCGTAATTCTCGGTATAAGTAAAACTTATATCATTATTGTTTCACTACGTTTTATAAAAAGCAAAGAAGATCCATCTGTGTTGACTGAATCATAAAGACGAAAGAAGTAGCTAAAAGATGAAAACAACAGTTTAAAGAACTGCTAACGGATATAAAGGCAATTGTATTGCCTTTATATCATTATTCATATTATATCATAAATGAAAAACAAAATAATATATTGGAATATAACACAGAACTCAGTAAACCAGGAAGAACTAGAAGAAGCAATAAAAACGTTGAAGTATGTAACAGCTCCTAGAGTGGATAGAATGATAAAAAAAATATTCTAAAACTTAGGAGAAATGGAGAACAAATATAACTAAAATTACTAAATAAAATATGGAACAAGAAAGATCTACCGGAAGATTGGAAAGTGTCAGTAATAGTATTCATATAAAAAAAAAGAGATATGCGAGAATGTAATAACGACAGAGGGTTGAAGTTGCTATCCACATGTATGAAACTATTATAAAAATCATAGTCAAAGGATTCAGAACAGTGACATATCACACAGACTCAGCACAAAGTGAATTTAGAAATGCTGGGAGTATGCAGGATCATATATTTACTTTAAAACAGATGACACAAAAAGCCCTGTAAGGGAAAAAGAACATATATGTGTATACGTAACATTTCCTAACATAGAATTCATATAACCTTCCTCCAATAAAATACCAAGAGAGCAAACGATAAAATATACTACGAGACTAAGAAAAGTTAGTAAGAATAACACAAAAAATATACAATGAGAAGAACAATCTTGAGTCTTAGCACAAGAAGAAGCACTATTCATAATATTTATGAACTAAATAATTAAGACATGCACAAAAACAACTAAATAGCTGAATGTACTAGTAGGAGTATGCAGATAGAGACCTTAGTGCCGTTTTGACAGTTATTGTATTTTTACAGAACAAGGTCCTGCTACGTCACAAGTGAGATGAGTAGGCAGATTGAGATCCCGAACACGAACCATATCCCTCTTGAATTGAGTGCCAAAACGTATATATATATATATATATATATTATATATATATATATATATATATATATATATGTTTATTATCAGATACTTTTTTTTGACAACAGAGAAACTGTTTTCAATCATTAACATTTTGGTCCAAAATGGATTCGAGTTAATTTATAGCTAAATTATAATAAATGACATTTTAATTTTTTATTGTGAATAAGCCACAATTTTACTTTAAATTAAGTTTATTTTGATAGTTTGGTTTCCATTTCAGAAATCGTCCTAAAAATACAAAATATTAAATTGTATTAAGATGCCACAAGAACGTAGTTTCAAAACAATATTAATAAATTATATAACTCACCAAGACCTTCATGATGTTGATCCACAAAGTATTGCTAAAGACTGATGCTGTTTCAACTCATCACTAATCTTTTATAGGTGAAATATTTTCTATAACTTATAAATCATTCAATAGTTTCGCCACTGATCCAGATGTGACAATATAAATGTGAATTTGGCGGTTAAAATGCAAATAATTATATAATACTCGGTAATGGATACTATGTGCCTTCACAAACCATATGCTTGTATAATGTATAAATTTTACAAATCCTTTATTCTTTCTCCACGGAAAAAGAAATTAATTTTTTTGTAATATCTTCTAAAATAGAAATAACTGTGTATAATCTTAACAGATGCTCCATAATAAATATTCATTCGATTGACTAATTATGTAGAAAATAAACATCTAATTTCTGTATAATTTTTCAAGTATAATGAATAATTGACAATAGAATAAGAATACATAAGAATGTTGAATATTAGTAAAATAAATGCAATACATAAAGTAAGCGCTTGTAAATATTAAAAGGCGCAATTTTATTTTTTTGATGTATTAGGTGGATTAAACTACTCTTGTCCCCTGGCAGCCATCTTGGTAAAGGGGGGATAAGGGGTTTTCGCACTGTAGCTCGTAAACTAGCAAAATTTTATTAGAAAATATTTGTAACAAATTAAATTATTTTCAACTTTATTTATATTACTTCTAATAGTAAAATGGAAAATAAAAAAGTTATAAATAAAAATAACTATAAAACGCTCAGAGAAATATTACAGGGCGTTTTTCAGAGAATAGTTTCCACTGCAAATTTGATTAATTTTGTTATTTTCTCTGGATTTTACAACGCTCAGGAGTTGACCAGGCCCTTGAATACTAGTTATGTTCAAATAAGGGACGCAAAGAGTTTTCGCGTTGTATCCAGTAAACTAGCAACCCTACAGAAAATTTTATTAAAAATTTTTTGTAGAAAAGTAAATACAACTTAATTTATATTCATTTTTATGGTAAAATAAACAATAACAAGTTTTAACAAAAATAACTAAAAATATTTTAACAAATTTATTTTTGGGCATAATAACTTTTCTATGGTATAATAATATGGTAATAAAAAATATCATAGCATTTTTACAGAAGATTTTTCAAAGCATAATTTTTACTACAAATTTATTTAATTTCATTAATTTTTCTGGGATTTACAGCACTTCGAAATTGACCGGGCTCTCGAATATTCGTACGAATAGAAAAAAATTAAACTATCATGCATAGTTTCCTATTATACATATTTTTTTATTCATATTATTTTTTATTTTTTTAACATTACCAGGTTATTATTATTCTATTGTCAACTTTTTTTTCGACCATCTCTGACGCAGAGTCTAAAGAATCGTTTTTGAAAGTCGTATCTTCATTATGCTTATCCATGGACAATTTCCAGTTGAGATAATATTGAACATATTATATTAAAAAAGTTATTTTTACAGTTATTTTTCTTTTCATTTTCCTTGTTGGTCCAGACCGGCGATTCAGGATCTACTTTTGTTTCGAAGGTGAATTTGAGGTTTTGCGGAAGAATATGAGTTGGAATTGGTATCATTCTGGGCAACAATTTATCTTCGAATTCTTGAGATCTGTTTTTAATTTTAATATTTCCATGATGTTACTGCAAGTTTTATCAGTACAACTGGGACACACTGCAAAGCATTTGAGGCCTTCTTTTCGGCAACCACACATACTTTCACAGTTTGACTTGCATCTGCAGAAAATTAATTGCAGAAGTGGGTGGTGCTGGAATTTTAAAAGGTTTGATTTGTATTCTTAACATTTTTCTATGTTTTTTAAACCACAACCTTAAAGATTATTGTTTGCTGGTGATAAATTTTAAGACTGTGAAAAAGAGTAAAAGAAGTAGGGCTGGACGGACACGACATAGCTATAATAAGCAATACATACTGGAACCACACAGGATGTGTTCGAATAGATAACGGCAATACCAATTATGTAAACATAGAACGAGGAGTGCGTCAAGGGTGGATTCTGTCCCCTCTTCTATTTAATGTCTATGCCGAAAATATCATCAGAGCTTCTCTTGAAGATCGCCCTGAAGGTGCCAGAGTAAATGGAATCATCATTAACAATGTAAGATATGCCGATGACACCGTAGTATTAGCAGAAACAGAAGATCAACTAAAAATATTGATGAACATACTATCAGAAGAAAGTCACAGACTAGGTTTGAATATTAATCTTTCCAAAACCAAAATCATGGTATTCCACAAGAACCCCCATGAACAAATTACACCCAACATACAAATCAATGGTATCACCCTTCAGAGCTCCCAAAGCTTCATATACCTGGGCAGAGAGCTAAACAGTCAGCTAGACCACTCAAAAGAAATTAGAAGACGTATTGAAATAGCAAGATCTGGCTTCATGAACATGCGTAAAATGCTCTGTAACCTCAAGCTATCAATCACAATAAGGTTAAGAACACTTAAATGTTATGTGTGGTCTCTACTACTATATGGCTGTGAGACCTGGACATTAAAACAGTATGTCAACAAACTGAATTCATTCGAAATGTGGATGTACCGCCGAATGTTAAGAATAATAGCTGGACCAGCAAATCCACAAATGAAGAGGTACTGGAAATAATGAACACACGACCTCATCTGGTTAATACAATCAAAATTAAAAAGACGTCATATCTAGGACACATAATGCGCCAAAAGGAATTTGAGCAGCTCCAGGTAATATTAGAAGGCAAAATCGAGGGTAAAAGGGGTATAGGAAGAAAGAAAAAATCCTTTCTCCGAAACATCGGAGATTGGACTCACACAACAGGAAATGACTTAATCCATCAAGCCCAGAACAGAGTGAAATTTGCCATATTGATCGCCAACCTCAATAGAGAAGGCACTTAGGAGGAGGAGGAAAACGAGCTGCATTTTGTGTTGGCGGAAGCAATGATAAGTTAAATTTTTTTTGGTCACTGTTTTGGTGAATCGTTTGTATTCTATGCTTTAGAATATAATATAGATATTTATAATATAATATAGATTCAGAATATTCAGAAAATAGTCTTTATTTTTCTTATATAAAGAGACGAAAAAACGTTCGCCA